CGAAGAGAACCGGTTCGGTCTCCACTGCTCATCGCCGCTACCGGCTCTCCAGAACTGGGCAGAACCGGTCGAACACCACCACTGCTAAAAGGGACCTTTAAGGTCTTCCAGTCCAACCCCAGCCCAAAGCGGGAGACTGTATCCCATTCTAGACAAATGGTGGTCTGATCTTTTCTTGAAAACCTCTAGCAATGATTTGCCAACTTACGTAGCATTTGAGATTGCAGTATTTGTAGCATTTCTGCAATGCTAGAACTCACAGTCTCCTAGTTTCTTGCCCGATGCCTTAAACACTATACAGGTAGCCTCGCAGAATCACAATTGACACCTGGAACGTTATTGCTAAACTTTATTGCCTGATTATTAAGTGAGACATCAGGTGATTTTATTCCCAGCTTCTCTATTGACTCTGCCTGTCAATAGGAAGTTGGCTGTGAAGTGTGCAAATGGTGGTCATGACCACAGGGTCCTGCAAAGATCATCAATGGCCACTAGTTACAAAGTGCTTGTATCTTGATCATGTGCATGCAGGGACACTGGAATGCTTATAAGTGCAAGGCTGGTCATAGGGTTACTTTGTCAGCACTGTAGGAACTTTGAATTGTCACTAAACAGGGCAGTTACTAAGCGAGGACTACCTGTATACCGAAGTGGGTCTTATATTTATCATAATTTTATATAAATTCACACTGTGAGGGACCTAATGCCTCATGGCAAGTATTACAGCTACACCAGATTGCACCAATTTAGGAGCATAAAGCAAGCCACTTAACGAGACCCCAGGTAAGGCCTCTTAGGTGCCCACCAGCTTCGTTATCCCATTGGCTCAGTTGTTCATAAATGGTGCCCATTGAAACAGAAAGCAGATAAAGTATGTATTTGTTTATATTTCTTTTCAGTCTGGTAGCTTTCTGAGCTACTACCTTCCCAGCAAAATACTTTGGCGGAACAATTTGATTTTTCTTTTCCTAATTCCTGCTGTAACAAATCTGAACCCGTTTTATTCTGGTTTTTGGAAGAATCACCACACTTATGGACTAACATATAATTTCTTTCTACCATTTTTTTGCATTGTAAAGTGCCAACATTCGCTTAGTGAGACAAAACTCAGTTCCAGAGACTGAAGGTATATTCTGTACTCGATTATCCTTACTCATTTTTCAACTAATTGGCCTGTCTATGGCAATGATTTCCGTAATCCTGGTCATTGAATCAGTGTTGATCTAGCTTTGTGATGAATTGCTGCTGTTTTCTGTTCATGCTTGGAATATCAGCAAAAACTATTTAGCTGAAAGATGTACACATCCATGTACTACTGAAAGTTGGAAATTTTTTGCCAGTAATTTGTGAATTAGATATTGCCAAAGACATCAGCGTCCATGATCAAGTAGGTGATGTAAAAGCAGAGAAAATACAATGGCTTATTCTTCTAATGATTGGTCATCAAGGAAAAATCAACTCGAAGCCTACAAGATTTGAGGAGATCTGATTCAGCTATACCATGGACGACAGCTAAGCAGAAGGAACACGTGGTTGGAACAACCCAAGCAGCCACTATACGCTTGGACTTCACCTAACGCAGAACATTGAAACCAAATTGACTACATCTTGTGCCCAAAGAGGCAGAAAAGTCCCATCCTTGCTGTGAAAATGTTCCCTGGAGCAGATTATGGGTGAGATCATGAACTGTTAGCTGCCAAGATAAGGTGCCAGTGGCGCAGTATCAAACAGCCACCCAGGATTCAGAAATTTGACATCGAAAAGATTCCCCAGACATATGCAGTTAACTTCAGGAATAGATTTCAACTGCTCAGCTTCACAGAAAGACAACCAGATGAGCTGCGGGAGGGAATAAAAACAACCCTCACCAAAGTAGCCCAAGAACCTATTAAGCAAAAGCCATTGGGGACAGGGGAGAAAGGCGAAGACTAAATGGAAGGTTCCGGAGAGAGGCAAGAAAAGACAAAGCAAAGTATTCGGCTGAGCAATGTAAGAAACTGGAGGAAGCAGCCATGAGAGCCGTACAAGCGAGTGTTTCGCCTATAAGGAGGCGGCCAAGCACCCCTTCGTGGCAGGAAAGGAAGGCTGTGGTCAGAGGACGTGACGGGCAGGAATGGCAGGACCAACAAGCCATCAGAGAGAATCTCAGAAGGTTAAACCATGGCAACTGGAGCAAAGGTACCATGATTTCACCTTCTGAGATACTTTTGGCCTGAAAGAGTCTTCATGGACGTGAAGCCGTCAGAGAAAGATGCCAGGAACATGCAGAACAGCTTTGCACGAACAAGGCCAGGCCATAAGAGCAGAAGCTGATTTACCAGAAATGGAACCAGATATTCTGGAGGAGGAGGAGGAGGAGGAGGTGTGGGCACTCAACGGGTTGCCTAACTGCAAAGCCCCGGCAATTCCTGCTGAGTTGCGGAGGCCACTGCTGACGAAAGCACCGGACGTGCTTTGCTGAAGGGTACGGAAGAGCGGTCAGTGGCCAAAGGGACGGAGAAGGTCCATGTTTATCCCGGTACCAAAGCAAGGTGATTCGAAAGGTGTGTGGTCTTACCAAGGCATTTTAAAGCGGCATTAACGCTTCACGTGATCTTGATTCTGGCTCTTGGCTAATGCAGCCTAGGATTGCACTGGGGTTTTGGCTGTTCATCCTGAAATGATGGTGCACTAGGACGCCACGATCCCTCTCACGGTTAGGGCTGTTGAGCCAGGAATTGGGTTTTTTTTAGCAGGGCATCAGTCTGTTCTCCTGCATCCTGAAGTATTTATTATTTACAGTCTGTTTGAAGATGTTATTAAAGTTTTAAGTGATTTGCCCTGAGGTGCAGCTCATTTATGTTTGGTCTGTGTGTCATTAGTTGAGAATCACTGGGCTGATGCGGAGGGTTATAAGCTTGAAAATGATTGCTTGATCCCGTTGCTGTAGAGCTATAGTGAAGAGGTTCAATGTTTGCTTCCAGCGCATTCCTTGGAGCGCAAGTTCAGTGCTGCAGAATGTCTATTGTCCTCACAGCTGTATAAGTGCAGCGAATGGAGATCAGTGAGGTTACAGAGAAATCAGTATTTCCAATAGAAGTACGCTCAGGGTATAATTCATGCTAATTACTCGACAGTTAAATTGGAGTTAAAATGAAATGCCACTGGGCATACCCTTACTTGGTATTAGTATTAAGCCTTACATTTCAGTATTCTTGGTAGAGTTTAGTTTAGTTTATTGTCATTGCACCTCCTGCAATGAAATTAAATAAAGTCTACTCTGCTTAATCAAAGAGTTTGTGTTTGATATCAGAAAGATACATTTGATACCTTTGCACCTGGCCAAACCGAAGGCTCTTCCTCCCCCTGTTTCTGCAAGGCTGGCTGGGGGCGTTGCCTCCCCTGGGAAGCCCCAGTGGGGCAGAGGTGGTGGAGATTCCCACTCCGCCTCGTAGTTCACTGGGCCGGTTTGGGCTACTTGCTGTATCCCCTGTGAGGTCTCTGGGGAAGCTAAAAGGAGACGGACGACCTTTTCAGCTCCACAGAGTAGAGTAAGCATTTGGGGAACTCGCTCAGTCTCGAAACTGTTTTTGTTTTAAGAACTATCTGGGCCCCACGGTTGCTAAAGATGGCCAGTCCTGTTATTTTGAGGTGGGAGATGCTCAGAGCGGTCTATGATAGCCACAAAACAGACTTAAAAGTAACTGTTCCTAGAAGCCCATTTCGGAAAAATCCCGGCCCATAGCCATCATCAAAAAGCCGCCTGCCTGCAATTGTTTGCGTTTTTTACAAAAATATACATGTTTTTTAAAAACAAGAAAACCCTGAACCAAGAGAGACAGCACTTGATACATTTTGTTGAGGGATGTGCCATGCAGTACATTCAGGCTGTTCCATGCCTGCGCCCTTATCTCCTATGTACAGGACTCCTTTGCTAGAAAGTCTGTGCCCAATATTGCCATTATCATGGCTCCAAGAACGGCTGTTGTCCAACTACATTGAAGAATAATTCCAAGTCCTAACCCTGGTCTTCGTTAGCTGGCAATTGGGAAATAATAAGTGTGCAAACTAATTTGGTGTTTGTTCAAAATTATCTGCAGTATTCTGGTTGGGAGGAAGATGTAGCGTCAGGCACAAAAAAGTTGACTTTTCATATTTGACTATCCCTGGCAATCTCTCAAAGGCATCTTTAAAAAATTAGAATTGCTGAAGTAAAAAAAAAAAAGTTTGAAGTAAGTCCCTGCATATCCATACATTGAATCTAGCTCACATGTGATCCAACGGACGTCATATTAACATATTCCCAATAACTTATCCACATATTTTGCTCTTTACCTCTATTCATTTGATCAACTTACATTTCCCCTTTCCTTCAGGACTTAATTCAGGATTAAATACATTATCTCCTTCGTGCAGACTTAAATAGTGTCCAAATTTGTTTGCTCCTGGGCTTTTGGGGTGTGGCTTCATTGAACTGTTCCACTGTGGAATAGCTCTGTTCCGTTGTCAAAGAGCTTGTAGGTTTCACATGAAAGTTACCGTTCGTTAAACTTGGCAAGGCAGGCAGTCCTTGGATTACGAACGGCCAACTTAAGGGCAACATTAGGTAAGATAGGAACAGGCTGCCTATTGCTAAAAATGGCCGACCACGGAAGCCACACATTTTAAATGTACAGCCTGTTTTCGGGGGTTCCTGAAACCATGCATCTTCAGGGTTTCGTCGACGGAAGGAAGGACAATGCTCCCCATCCCTTTTAGTAAGTGGAAGTCCGTGTTTTGACTAAAATACAAATTTGGGTTAAAGACAGAGTTAGGGAATGAGACTGAATTTTAACTCTGGGTTAAAAGCCTAGATCAGATGTTACCAGAATTGCATTTTAGTAGGATTTCAGTAGTGGTAACCCAAAACCAGAGGCTGTATAATATGCTATTTTTAAGTATTTGTTTTTTCTGTCATGATATTGTCTTCCAGAATGGCAGATGCACCCAATCCTAACTCAATTCACTTTGGTTTGTTCCAGAGTCTAGCCCAGCTAGAGAATCTGTGCAAGCAACTATATGAGACAACGGACACCACTACACGGCTCCAGGCAGAGAAAGCCCTGGTTGAATTTACTAACAGCCCGGATTGCTTGAACAAGTGCCAGCTTCTCCTTGAAAGAGGGAGTGTACGTAGACAAACAAGCCACAAGGCTGCTGTTGAAAGGGTTGGGTACCTTTTTTTTTTTTTGCAAGTTTAGGGATGCATCTTGCTGACCCAATATAGGAAGGCATTTGCAACTGGCAAATTGGAATTCTTTAAAATGTGGCTGTGCCAAATATGTCTGTGGAGATCCGTGTAGTGGGTCATCTAATCTAGGATTTAAAGTATTCGGTGAAAGATATTTTTATTTTATTTATTAACTTTATATGCCACCTATCTCATGGTTCAGGATGATTATTAAATATTAATATATTGCCATCTTGCCAGTGTGAGAATCACTAAGAGCCTTCAGCAGAATCCCAGAATTTATCCATCCACATGAATGGCTTGTTTTCTTTCTGTTTGTTTTACAGTCGTCATATTCCCAATTATTGGCAGCTACATGCCTTACAAAACTGGTGTCACGCACAAACAACCCTTTGCCCTTGGAACAACGCATAGACATACGTAAGTACAGCAAAGCTGGATCGCTCAGCCCCAAGGCCTGGCTTGCCTAGGATCAGACGGGCTATTCGGAAAGTTTGCGAACGTTTGCTGGGATAGAAAGGGAACATTCGTAGTGTTTCCTCTTTTAAGTTACCCATAGTGTGAGAAATAAGTATGAATTTGCCTGGCTTGCCTTCTATGTACGTGCATGCTTCCCTGTTCCTTGACAACATATTAAAATTACAATGTGATAAGTTGAGAAGTAATTCTTTTTGTAACATACTGCACCATAAAGTGCAGCTGTTTTGGCTGTTCTTTGGACATTGTGAGGAGAGAGGGTCAGACCCTGAAGGAAATGCTTAGGCCCCCTTCTCTCAACCCCCCTCCTTCCTCCCGGGTCTGCCTCCAAGGCAGCTTCACTCGAGGTGGGCAGGGTCAGTCTGCCTTTCAGAGGTCACCCCAAGAACTGACCAGTAGCAGCAGCTCTGGGGCAGGAGCTCCGTGGAACCTGGCTTTAGCTATGCTGTGGTCTGTAGGTCAGGCAATCTGGAAAGGGCCCAAGGGAAGCACTTTGGCCAGATCCTGCCTGATGATGCTGAATGTTGTGTGCTCATTACAGAGCCACCCCTCTGCCTCCTCCCCCCTTGTTTTCTTGTTTGCGGGGGGGGGGGGGGGCTTCTAAGCGATAAGTCGCAGGTGCTGCTTGCAGCCTAGTCCCAGTTGTGCCTGTATTCACTTCAGGGGTGGTGACCTTTTCCCAACTCCAAGTTTCCTAAGCACTCTCCACTTGATGCCTCTGTTTCAGGGAATTATGTGCTCAATTATCTCGCTACCAGACCTAAGTTGGCCACGTTTGTTACACAAGCACTAATTCAGCTGTATGCCAGAATCACAAAACTGGGCTGGTTTGACTGTCAGAAGGATGAATATGTTTTCAGAAATGTCATCACTGATGTCACAAGATTTTTGCAGGTCAGTGTTCCATCTCTTCTACTTCTCCTTGCACATCAGGGCTTTGGCTGATGATTTCTACTCTTTTTCCTTGATGGTGGTGGGCTTGTTTCACACAGTCAGTGTCCATTGATACTGTTGTGGGTATCAAGCCAACAGAAAGAAAACTGCAGAACCAAATGCTGGAATTCTTATCTGCCCCAATCACTAGATCAAAGGCCTCCACCATCTAGCTTCCTGTTCCTCAGAGTGCCCAACCAAAAGCTTCCAGGAAGAGGAAGTAGAAGTTGCTAAAGTTTAGGTGAGGACCAGGAGCTGTTGGTCGACTCCAAGCCATCCAATTCCGTATTCACCAACAACAACCTCTGCCCCACCCCTCCACCCCCCATGCTCCCTGAAACAGCTTTTCCTTCTGCGACTGGAATATTTTTTTTCTGATGCTTAGCTAAAATCGGTTCACCTGGCTTGTTGTTCCTTTGGCCTTCCTATTGGAGTGGCAGTATTGAAGAGGAAGGGGCATGGCAGAATCCTGTTCTGCTTTGAATTGTATAACAAGCTTTTAGCATATTTCACATGTAGGAGAAAAAAAATAAAAAGACAGCGCAGCATCTGCTGGGCGCATAGCTGGATTTTGTTCTAGATCTACTGACTCTCAAACAATTCTAGGAAAGCCAGTCCCACAAGGGGCACATAATGAGTGGCAATTGCAAGTGAATCTCAGTTGCCTGCAAAATGTGGTCGGAGGCCTTCCTGAAGCCCAGTAAAGAAAATTCTGGTGGTGTTTCCACTTTGGAGAAGGGGCACCCTTGTGACTTGTGGGGGAGGACTGCCAGACAGCATTATAGAAGTCATCAACAACGTAAGCCATAAGCTACAACAATAGAGACCGCTCTGCCAGAGGGACCTTTTCTGCTTTTTCCTTCTCTAGGACAGTGTTGAGCACTGCATCATTGGAGTGACAATCTTGTCTCAGCTAACAAATGAAATTAATCAAGTAAGTGCTTCAGCCTTCCTCAGTGAAGTAAGTGTCACCTTTATTCATTCATTTTGCCTTGTGCTGCTTTCTGCCTATGCGCTGGTTTGTTTGTACAGACATGTGCTGCTTTGGTAAGAAACTGACGCTCCACTGGAGTTTGAAGTTTACCATCCCTGGCGCAATTCCTGAGCTATAGAAGTAGAGCTTTGGATGGAGACAACCCTCTGTTCAGTAATATTGCGAAGGCTCACAATGAGCTTTCCATTTCTGTAGCTCTTCCTTTGGAGAAACCTTTCCTAAGAGCTACTTGCTTCCATCCTGCATGGCAACCATCAGAGTTCTGGTTCAATTCAAAGGCTGGCATGCTCCCCACGCCAGGGTGTGGCCTTATCTTCTTCTGAAGTACAGATGGCAACCCCTGTCCTCCAGATTTTGATAGGTCTGGAGCAGGCCACTCCCTCAGCAGTCCTAGCCTCCCACTGTGCTATCTCAAGAGAGAAGCTTGAAGGAGCTTGACTGACAAGAGGGACCAGGGATTTTGGTTTGGACTCTTGAAACTGCAGTTCTGTAGTTCTGCCAAGGAACAGAGAGAGCCTCTCCTTGGATTGGAAGTCAGCTTATCCGCTGTATTGCGGGAAAATGCAGCATAGTAAAGAGAGTTTAAGAATTGCAGTCTTCCTGTGTTTTCCCCTTAATGGGACAAGAATCTGTTTCTGCTGCAAACCTGGCTGCGTCTTTTTTCCCCTAATCCCAAGGCAGGCTTGCTGACTTCTAACAAGCATCCGGACATTTGAAAAGCTTGGCCTGAAAGCGGTAAAATTGAATGGAGGTTTAGGGCAGATCTTTGAGGGTCTCTAACGTTGGTTGAAACCAACAGGAGGCTAGTGGCTCAGCACTCGGGAGCCAGGACTTGCCAAGCGTTTCTGTTTTCATCTGGCAGCAGGCGGTTAAGTGAGGGAAAGGGGTGCCTGGCCAAGGGCAGGCCCACCTTCTCTTGCCAGGGCCTGTGGCTTCTCTGCAGTCATCACAGCCCCAGCAGATGTGGGCAGCGGATCCAGGGGCTGAAAAGGGTGGTGGACAGCTGTAGTCCAGGGAGATGACGGACCCCCAACTGGGGCAGCGAGGAGATAAAATTCAGGCACCAACCCTGGTGTAACCCATTGATCGCGTGCGGTGATTTGACAGGCTTTGTGTGGCCCCTCCCCCCAAATTCCCAGCTGCTACTTTGGGTGGCTCATGAGAACATCTTAAAAATACAGTGGAAAAAAGAAAAGATGCCGCCAACATGGCAAGAATCGGATTCAAATGCAAAGGAAGGAAGAAACCCACCCCAACCTCTCCCACCTGGGAGAAGAGCCAGGCCTTGAACCCCTCCCTTCCAGGACGACCTGGGTCTTTCGGGGGGGCGGGGAGCCCCATTCAGGCCCCGCTGCCCCGAAGGGCCACTTCCGGGATTCTGGCCACTGACATTGTTCCGTTGGAGGAAACTGCAGTGCCCCAACCCAGCCGGATAGATTTGGCCCAGCAGCTGCTGCTTAAACAACAATAGATTCTGCACGTCCCATTTGACCTATTTCAATCTTCAGTGATCCTGGCTGTGCCTGTATATAGGCTGATATACCGCAATTATATACACCACGGAACTGAGCAACTCTTGGGTGTTGCTGAGGGTTGTTAGGTTCTGCTAGTATACAGATAAAATGATTCATATCGCTTTTTATCCTTTTCTTCAAAAGAGAAATGGAAGCAAATGCTGATAGCTGAATGGAAAATGGGAAATAGGATGTTTTTAGGCAGTGGATATTATATGCTCTATAATCAGCCCATGGCAGTTCCACCCTGCTGAGATCTTTCCTCAGTATGATGGTCTTAAAATTATAGGGATTCGCTATAGTGGACAACCTGTAGAAAAGCGCCTGTGGGATGTTCTAGTAGCATCCTCCTTTTTATATATAATTTTTACTGAAGATTTTAATTACAGTAGCAGAAGCAAATACAAACTAAACTCACAGAGAGAAGAGGAGGGAAGGGAGAGTTAAAAAGTGCAACGGAAAAAAAAGACAGGTATAATCGGATTTAATAACTTTTCAACCCCTAAAAGATTACAAACAGCTCTTGTTTTATAACCCATCCCTTATCTATATGCAAATTCTTAAATCATCAGGCTTTTAGTCCTGGTATTGGTAAAGGATTATCGGAGCTTTATAGAAAATTTCTTATTTCAACCTTCGTCAAATTCTTATTCTTGTTTTCTTCACGAGCATTTAAGGTCTAACGGTAACTTGCTTTCTTATTCAATCTCTAGGCAGACACTACACATCCTTTGACCAAACACAGGAAAATTGCTTCCTCATTCCGAGACTCATCGTTGTTTGATATTTTTACCCTCTCCTGCAATTTATTGAAACAGGTAAGAAAACTCGAAACCTTGGTGCTCAGTCTTGACCGCTGGGTAAAACGATTAAGGTCAATGATGACGCTTGCCTGCAGAAGTGGTGGGTGCCCCATCCCTGGAGGTTTTTAAGAAGAGACTGGACAGTCCCTGGTCTGAAATGGTGCCTTGAGCAGGGAGGGCTGGACTAGAAGACCTCCAAGGTCCCTTCCGGCTCTATGCTGATTGAGGGATTGAAAATGACCGAGTCCAATGTTACTGTAAATTTAGAGCTCTGAAAATCTCTAACTTCAGTCTGGTACGGCAACTGCTGTGTATGATACAGTGGGATTGTTAGGCTCTGCGGGCAAGAAGCTGGGCTAATGTCTTAAAAATGGTGCCCACTTCGCTTTTCCTTTTTTTAGGCTTCAGGGAAAAACCTGAATTTGAACGATGAAAGTCAGCACGGTCTCCTTATGCAGCTCCTGAAGCTCACACACAATTGTTTGAACTTTGACTTCATTGGCACATCAACCGACGAGTCCTCTGACGACCTCTGCACGGTGCAGATCCCCACCAGCTGGAGATCAGGTAGAGGTTGTCCTTGTTAGGCCTCTCTGGATCGTTGCAGGCATCGCCCCAGTCACATGGTGCAGGCCCTCCCCAATCCTTCGGGTTGGCACAGCGTAGGGAGGGCGGTCTTAAAACCCTACTCCAATTCGGCCGGTTCTGCAAACTGCCTAAGTGGGTCCACAGAAATAATCATGACAAAACCTGCAAGACGGGGGGGACACGTGGGCCAATATATTAGAGAATTGCTGCGATCATTACAGAGAGGAAATAATGTCCTTCAGCTACTGAGAAGCATCTCTCAGTAACCAGATTAGACTCTTTGGATAACGGCTCATCCCAGTGAGGCAAGAGGCTCTTTCCAGAATGGCCAGCGCAGTAGATCTCTTCGATCTGGTCTGGTCATCTTTTTGGAGAAAAAGAAAACCTGCTCCTGCACATTACTTCCATTTGGCCATTGGTCACTAAATATTAAAAGACTCCCATCTTGTTTTTATTATGCTTAAAGCTTTCTTTCATGTGCCAATAGACAAAAAACCCGGCAGTAGTATGCGTGGTTAATTTTAGTTCCATTTGCTTATAATATGGAATACCAGCTAAGCTCATTGTGACCTTTGGAGAGGTTGGCATATATGGGGGAGCGAGCAAGAGAGGCAGAAATTTCCTTCTTCTAAGGAGCAAGTTATAGAAAGTGTGTTTTGGAGCAAACGAGTGGTGGCGAAGGTGAGGTTTCCTTTATGCTCTCACCAAGGAAAGAGCAAGACCAAGAGATAAATCTTCGACACAGAGCAGTAATTTTTGCCATTGTCAGAAACGCCATTGGACCTAGAAGATAATAAATGGTGTTGTTCCTGACTAATCGGACTCTTTTTCTACCTGTTTGACTTGTCAGTAAGTTATACATATCTCAGCTTTCTAGTGCATAGGGAAAAAAGCAAGAGTCCCTTTTTGCAGCAGAAGGTGGCCTAATTTAGTCAGCAGAGAGAAGAATTGGCTGCAGATATCGTTAATCATACATAATGGCTGTGCAGAATTTCCAGATAAAATATACCGTTTTTCATTGATTTGTCATGGAATGGCCCAGGTGTAATTATGTTTGCTCACCTACAGTTCAGACCATGAATGCGTTTAAAAAGGTTTCTGCTGATTGAAATACAATAATATTTTCAAGCATACTCCTTCACATCTGGATGCAGTTAATGGATGCAGTTGAGCCTCTGGGCTTTTTCTGAAATGCCTCTTGAAAGGGACTTCTCAGCACCTCATTTCCCCATCACTTTTCAGCATAATTGCCTTGTGGTTTAAACTTAGCCCTTCAGAAAGCCCCCTTCCGCTGGATTAGGGCCAAACTCATTGCCATGGGCACCCAAAAGGTGGCAGTTGAGATTTATAACCTTAACTTTGGGGGGCGGGGGGGTGGGGTAGCTAAAAGAAGTTCCCAAAAATACAGAGAATCCCTGGTTTTAAAAGCAGTCTCGGGGTGGGGGAGGGGGGAGCACTGAACAGCGCAGGCAGACGGGAGAAGGATAAACACGGACAGAGAGTGCTTGGATTTCAGTAAGGCTTTTGACAAAGTAGACCACAACCACCTTGGAAGCTAGAAATATGTGGTATAGACACTAGATGGATTTGTAACTGGCTGACAAATCACACACACGTAATCCTTAATGGAACTACATCTACACGGAAGGAAGGAAGCAGTGGGGTACCCTAAGTTCCTTTTTCGGCTCTTCAACATCTTCATAAACAATTTAGAAGAGGGAATAGAAGGGGAACATGAAATTTACAGGTGACACTAAACTGGTAGGAGTGGCTGACACCCCAGAAGATAGACTCAAGATCCAGGTGGATCTTGACAGACTTGAACACTGGACACTATCCCACTAAAATACAATTGAAGGTAGAGAAAACTAAGGAAAGAAAAACCCAAAATACATATACAAATTAGGTGAAACCTGGCTTAATAACGGTAACTGCGAGAGGGATCTGGTGGTCCTAGTGGACATCACTTAAATATGAGCCAGCGGCCCAAAAAGCCAGTGCAATCCTACGTTGCATTAACAGAGAGATAGAATCAAGATCACGTGAATTACTAGTACAGCTATACAAAGCCTTAGTAGGGCCACACCTAGAATGCTTCATCCACTTTTGGTCACCCCAAAATAAAAAAAAAAGACCTTGAGACTTTGGAACAAGTGCAGAGAAGAGCAACAAAGAGGATGAGGGGCCTAGAGGCTAAAACATACGCCAAAGGGTTGTAGGAATTGGGTACGGCAGGTCTCGTGAAAAGAAGGGCCAGGGGGACATGATAGCAGAAGCTGTGGCTGCTCCCTCACTGGAGGCTCTTAAGTGGAAACTGGGCAGCCATGTGTCTGAAATGGTACAGGGCCTGCTTCTGGAGCAGGGGTTGGACTAGAAGACCTCCAAGGTCCCTTCCAACTATGAGGAGGAATGGGCCATGCTGCTGAAGGGGGGAGAGCAGAGGGGAGCAGCTGTTTTCACACCTCCATTCTCTTGCTTGGCCAGAGAATCCTCAGTCAGGCTGATGGTGGCCCCAAGTCCTGCTGGGCACCAACATTGGCCGGAAGGATGTTTCCAAGGGGCCGTTTCAAGCCTGCCCTGAAATTGCGCTCGTCTCTCTTCCAGCCTTTCTAGATTCCTCCACCCTGCAGTTGTTTTTTGACCTGTACCATTCCATCCCTCCCACTTTTTCACCCCTGGTAAGTATGTCTCCGTCCCATAGATTTCCCCTGGGAAATGGTGGGTGGGTGGGTGGGTGGGACCCCCAGGGCACCGTCCATCTGGGCCCAGCTACCCCCGAAGTCAACGCTTTGCTTTTTCTGCCTGCCTCTCCCCTCGCCCCCAGAAGAGGCCCACTGAAGCTTGTCTGCTCACGGCCTGCACAGGTTTTGCTTCGGGGCCAACTCGTTCAAAGAGTCCATGTTTTGATTTTACTCCCCTGGCTCAGGTCTTGTCGTGCCTAGTGCAAATTGCTTCCGTCCGGCGGTCCCTATTTAACAATGCCGAAAGAGCCAAGTTCCTGTCGCACCTGGTCGATGGGGTCAAGCGCATCCTGGAGAATCCCCAAGTAAGTCAGAATGTGAACATGAACAAATTTTGTATGGACATTGTCACCAGTTGTCCCTTGAAGCTTCGGACGGGTGTCATCCCGGGGCTTCTCTTTGCAACAAAACCCAGGAAATGGGGGGAGGGGAGCCACTCAGAGGGAGAGCAAGCCAAATCCTTAAGCCAGGCTCTTGGCATAGCCCGTGCAAAGCAGCCCGTCCAAGGATTAGAGGGAGTGGAAGGACAAGAATGGGGGTGATTCGGAGGATTTTAGAGCTTTATTAACAGACAGCATAGAGCCCACAACAGCCCAACCAGGGAAGAGGCTGCAGAAGCCCCAGGCCTGCCTGGGCAGCTCTGCAGGCCCATGTTCTCCCCTCCGCTGTCTGCCTGGCTACCCCGGCCCAGACATTGCCAGTGTGGGGCGGGATGTGCAGAGAGAACAGGCTCCTGCTGTCACCCGCTTTCTCTACTGGTAGGTGATGAGGAATATGAGTTTGAATCGTGCAATATTCAATTTAGTGCGAAATATAAATCGATACAGGGTCAGGATTAACGCAAGCCAAAGATGAGCTAATGCTAGAGTCCTCTGGCTTGTTTGGGTCCTCATTTTACTGACCTCGGAAGGACGGAAGGCTGAGTCAACCTCGAGCCTGGTGAGATTCGAACTGCCAATTTGCAGGCAGCCGGCAGGCAGCAGAAGTACTGCACTCTCACCGCTGCGCCACCGCGGCTCAGTGGTTTTTGTTGCTCTTCTCTGCATTCTTTCAAGGGCTCCGGCATCTTTTGGGTATTGTGGTCCAGAACTGGACCTGGCCGTCCCAGGGCAGCCGGATGATTTGGGCTTTGGGCAATCTCAGTCAGTCTGGAGGGGCCTGGGGGGCTTCGTGGAACAGCTCCGGGGGTCTCGTCGAGGGGGGTGCCGGACTGATGCTTCTCGTTCTTCGTTTTTTCTCCCTCAGAGCTTGTCAGACCCAAACAACTACCACGAGTTCTGTCGGCTTTTAGCTCGCCTGAAAAGCAATTATCAGCTAGGGGAGCTGGTCAAGGTGGAAAACTATCCTGAGGTCATCCGACTCATCGCCAACTTCACTGTCACCAGCTTGCAGGTGGGGGCGTCTTGGGGCTGGAGCGAGTCTGGGGGGGGGGGCCCCCCCAGGAGGCCTTTTGAACTGTCCAGGTGGGCAGGGAAGGGCGTGGCTTCTCTTAGGACACCAGCCTTTAGAACAGGGGCCTCAGCCGTGGCAGCTTTAGGACTTGTGGACTCCCAGAGTTGAAGTTGAGGGTTGAAGTCCCACAAGGCTTAAAGTTGCCACGGTTGGAGGCCCCGGCTTTAGAACACAGAACTGCCTGCTTTACCTGCAAATGCCTTGAAGGGGCCACTTGCCCCCAGCAGAAAGAGCTGGCAGGCAGGCAGGCAGGCAGGCAGGTGGCATTCACCGTCTTCCTTCCTTCCTTCCGGTAGCACTGGGAGTTTGCGCCGAACAGCGTGCACTACCTCCTCAGTCTGTGGCAGCGGCTGGCAGCCTCTGTTCCCTACGTTAAAGCCACCGAGCCGCACATGCTGGAGACGTACACGCCAGAGGTTACCAAAGCATACATCACCTCCAGGCTGGAGTCCGTCCACATCATTCTCAGGTAAGATGTCGTGGGGACGGCTGGTCCTTGCGGTCTTTGCCTGGGAATGTGTGAAAGTTACGCGACCGCAGGAGAAGGACCCTGCCCCAACACCGAGGGCAGCTGGGAGGGAAGCGAGCCTGGCCGCATTCACGCCAGCGGAGCCCCCGGGGCCCCCCTCCCCTCGCAAAGGAGCGCCCGGTTCTCTTCCCAATTGGTGGCTTTCCCTACCCCCAGAGATGGCCTGGAAGATCCCCTGGATGACACGGGTTTGGTGCAGCAGCAGCTCGACCAGCTCTCCACCATTGGGCGCTGCGAATACGAGAAGACCTGCGCCCTCCTGGTGCAGCTGTTCGACCAGTCCGCCCAGACCTACCAGGAGCTGCTGCAGAGCGCCACGGCCATCCCCGTGGATGTGGCCGTCCAAGAAGGTGAGCAGCCAGCAGGAGATCCCTGCCTTGGCTTGGCCGAGCTTAAGGAAGGAGAGCAGCCTCCTTTGCCAATGGGATTTCCCTGGCAGCTGTGCAGGGTTGGGGACTGCGATGCTTGGAAACAAAGCAGAGATGAAGTGAAGTAACAGTTGAGAGTCAGCCTTAGTTCCTGCCTCGTGAAAAGGAGAGCCACCTTTGGAACTCTGCTTGCTTCTAAGAACCAGAGTGCCTTTGCACGCGCGCGCACACACACACACACACACACACCCCGGCTCCCATCCATTACAGAAGATCATTGGGCGGGGGGGGCGGGGAGGAGTCCAGGGCCCAGGGCCTGCCCTCTGGAACACCATTCAGATTAGGGGTTGTCCCTGCTGGCCTTTCTCACAGCCCTTGAGATCTAGATCTTCTCCCAGGCTCTCGAGGTATTTGAGCCCCTGAGTTGTGTGCATTTCTGTTGCTGGGTTTTCCCTTGCTTGCCTTCCTTTTTTGTGCTTTGGATGTGTTGATGTGGGTTGGTGTGGATGGTTCTGCCCTCTCGGTCTAACTAAAGGAAAGGTGTGCGGGAGAAGACAGGTTGGTGGATTCGCTCTGTTCCTTTCTCTGGCTCCAGGGCGCCTCACCTGGCTGGTCTACATCATTGGGGCCGTGATTGGCGGGCGAGTATCCTTTGCCAGCACAGACGAACAAGATGCCATGGATGGCGAACTGGTCTGTCGGTAAGAGCCCCGCGCTAACAAGGGGAGCCCTGCCCCAAGGCCTCTCGCCCCGTCCAAGGGAATGAATCGTCACACCTTTCCCCGTTATTCGGTTCACCAACTTCGGCCCACCTCCGGGGCCTGGAGAAGCCCTTGGCAGGGGGATTAAAGTGCCAGGTCCACTCTGAGCATCTGGCTGACTGCAATAAGCCATAGTAGTAAGGAGGAGTAGTAACTGAGCGTGCTTGGGGAGATGCTGCATTAACTGTTCACCTTGAGAGCATTCACAAGCCGCGTAGAAGTTGTGTGGACCAGCTGGGTGTGTAAGGGGGTGTGCCCTCCCTTGTGGCCCTTGCAGAACACAGAACTAAATATTGGAAGTTGGCAGATTGCTGGGCTTTGAGATGGGAAAGTGGGTCTTTCAAAGTTTGTTGTCAAAGCACAGCCGTTTTTTTCTCATCCATGGCTAAAAGAAAGGGGGGGCGGGATTAAAGGAAATGCAGGGTGGCCATTCATTGAGTTAAGCTTTTCCTTCTGCTGATTCTTTTTAGCCTTCTCCAAAATGTAAACTTCTTGTCAAATAATTCTAAGATTAAAACATATCGAAAGGATTCTTTTTCCGATTGTTCTTTCATATGATGAAAACAAGCAGTTTTCCGTCGGTCAGATATTCCTAGGTGTCTCCCTGACAGCCCTGCCTGGGATTCTGAGTGGGGGGGGGGGGGAAAGGGGCGGGGGGTTTTTCGGGGTAGAACCCCCCCCCCCCCCATGACAGTGCCTGTCTCCGGAGGGCACCTGACTTGCCCAGCTCAGAGGCGCTTTCGGAGGGACCCCGTGGTTGGTCCTCCTCAGACAGATTCAGCCAGATGTGGAAAGTCAGCAGCCTGCCCTTTCTGAACAAAATAAAATGCCCCTTGAATCAACGGGTGGCTTGTGCCCTCTCCAGCTCTGCGGCCTTCTTCATCCCTTCCCTTCCGGCCTTTCCAGGGTCCTGCAACTCATGAACTTGACCGATTCACGCCTTGCTCAGGCGGGCAATGAGAAGCTGGAGCTGGCCATGCTGAGCTTCTTTGAGCAGTTCCGAAAAATCTACATCGGAGACCAGGTGCAGAAATCCTCTAAGGTAAAGGACGCTTGTAGCGGCTTTTCCTAATGTCTTCACGATCCGCTCGGTCAAAACTCTCCACCTGCAGATTGTGCTTGGCCAGGGTGGGGCTTTAGGGTTCATTTGGCTGCCCCCTTCAGAAGCCAAGGGGGCCCTGGGATCAGGGGGGCTGAAAGTGAACTCACAAGAGCCGCCTGAGCTGAAATCGGTTTTCCACTCCTAGCTGTATCGCCGGCTCTCAGAAGTCCTGGGGCTGAATGACGAGACCATGGTGCTGAGCGTCTTCATAGGGAAAATGTGAGTCCTGCTGCTGCTGCGTGGGAGGTTTCTGCCCGGGGGGGTTCCTTCTGTGGGCTGGCAGGCTGCTCCTAAAGGCTGCTCCCTTCCACACACACACCCGCAAACCCTGGGATAGCCGAGAGGAGCGGATGGTTGAGGGATTCCAGCCCAGCCTCTCTGAGCTTTCTGCTGACGGGGGCCCTGGGGGGGGGGACGAAAGGAGAAAGCAGCAGCCCCCGGACGGTGTGCATTTCCTCTCCCTGCAGAATCACTAACCTGAAGTACTGGGGACGGTGTGAGCCCATCACCTCCAAGACGTTGCAGCTCCTCAACGACCTCTCCATTGGATATCCTTTCCTGCAGGCCTGCCTGGGCTCGGACGGGCGCTCCAGGCATCCTGGGTTCTCCCTCTGGGGAGGCCGGAGCTGAGCAGAACCCGAGTCCTCCCCTCAAGAGCCCTTCACTCCTGTTTCTCACAGGATCCCTTTCGAGGCTGGAATAGGATCAGCAGCAGGTGGAATAGAGGGCGGCAGTCAGTGTAAATAACTGCCTGATAAGGAATAATAAGTACATGATCTATTCATAAGAGGAAGAGTACATTGGGGTGGAAGGAGGATACGGTTCAAATCCGTAGCCTCCGTGGCGCAGTGGTGAGAGGGCAGGACTGCAGGCTCCTTCCGCTGCCTGCCGGCTGCCTGCAGTTCAAATCTCACCAGGCTCCAGGTTGACTCAGCCTTCCATCTTTCCAAGGTCGGTAAAATGAGGATCCAGATTGTTGGGAGCAAGAGGCCGACTGTAAACTGCTTAGAGAGGACTGGAAAGCACTGGGAAGTGGTATATAAGTCTAAGTGCCATTGCTATGTTGAAGATAAAGAAGCAGATAATTAAACATTATTGTACTTCTATTCCAGTCCTTTACCAAATTATTATATGGTCCTCTGCAGTGGTCTCAGCAGTCATGACCATAGTTAGGTAAAATAATTAGTATATGACAGTCAGTAGTCCTCGTTCAGCGACCATTTGCACGCCCTGTAATGGCCTCGTGGGAAGAACCACAGCTGGGTCAGAGAAAAGGCGGCAGCTTCCTAGTTTCTTGGCCTGTAAAGGTGACGAGGCAGACCTGCAAGACTCCGTTCATGTAACCTTATCGTAAGGTAGAATTGCTTGGTCTGGGCCTGCTTCCTGGTGGGGCCGTCTCGCAAGGTAGACGGTAACAATGGTGCTGCAGGAGGAGACTTAGAATGGTCCTCGTAGTCACGACCGTTGCTGTGTTCCCGGTCCCAGTTACCATTGTTAAGGGAAGGCTACCTGTCCAAGCAGGTAGTCGCAGACAAGCATTGTTGCGTGTGCAGCTTTAGCCATCTCTGGTCAAACTGTTTGAACGAATTCCTTAGCGAACAGAAACGGAAAGTGAAAAGTTACCTCCCACTTGCATGCCTCCTATGTACTGTTTACGTACCAAGTGTTTACAGATTCAGAATGAAGGAAAGAGGAGTGGATGCAATTCCACCAGGGAGGCCTAAACTTTTGTATACACCTGTACCTGGATATCAGGTGATAGCCTTCTGATGTTTTGGACTTTGGTTCCCTGCCACGCCATATTCAGCAGACCCCGTGGCCGTCCGTTGGAGGGCTTGCTGGCCAGACATCTATGCTGCCACGGGAGGGGAAATAGGATTTAGTGTGACGGCTATCTTCGTGTTATTATGCCTATGAAGTTTCCCAACCAGGCCGATGGCTTGTTGTTTCCTTAACCTCACTTTTACCTACAGCAGCGTTAGGAAACTGGTGAAACTGAGCGCTGTGCAGTTCATGCTGAACAATCACACGGTTAGTTGTCACGTTCTTTGGCAGAGCTTCTGGGTGGGGTGGTCTTCCAGTACGGTCAGCAGGGGGTCTCCTTGGAAGGATTCCTCTTTCCAGACCAGGACTCGGAACAAGCAACATCCACCCTAATTGGCATCACCTAAAGTGGTACTTAAAGGCCAGGAGCACACTTCAAAGTGCACTGACGACGTCTCCTCGAATGGTGACGAGACATTTGCAACCAAATTGCCAAGCTTGGAGCTCAGACCAACAGCCTAATTCCTCTTTTGTTATAGAGGAAACAAGGACTGAAGCTGCAGCTGCATTGGGGAAGCAGGTTGAAATTCAGATTTTGCCATGCAAATTGTACCAGAGAATAGTCCTGCCAGTCCTGCCCTTCCTGCCCAAAACGAAGCCTCGTGTTTTCTAGCAGGGCCTTCCCCCAGCAGTCAGTCTGGCCACAGAGCAGAGGGCTCTGGCCGATTGGAAGCTCCCTTGAGTGACCTGGGCAAGGAGGACATGCGATGCTAGCCGGTTGACCTTAGGCCCATTCCTATTGTAGCTGGCCCTGTGCTGCTATTCACAATCCAGGCGTTGATAAAAGCTTTCCAGCATGGAAAGGAGTTTTGTCCAACTGCTGCTTGCGCAGGGGACCCTACACCATTCCAGGCCAACGGCCGCCCAGTCTCCAGGGATGGAGCACTGACAGCTTCTGGAGGCCAGCTATGCCGTGGGTTGATTGCTCTGACTCCTTAGTTCCGGGTGGCTTCCCTCCTTGGTTAGTTTCCATCCATTGTGAATTAGGAAAGCACTTAGTTGTTCTAAGCCAGATTCGGTGACCTGCATTGGATTGGATGCTAGCAGGAGGAGGGGAAAGGCCCCCGGCTTGCAATGACGGTAGCTCCTTGGCCAAGGCAAGGGCAAGGAAGGCGGGCGCTTGCGACCTGCCTGTCCATGGTGCCCAAATGCCGAGGGTGCCCCTTGTTTCTGTCCCTGAACAATTGCACCCCATGGATTGATAATGTGATTTCTGTTCTTCCGCAGAGCGAGCACTTTTCCTTCTTGGGCATTAACAATCAATCCAACCTGAGTGATATGCGATGTCGGACTACGTTCTATACGGCACTTGGGCGCCTCCTCATGGTGGACCTCGGTACTGCAACCCATTCCCCCTGAGTTCTTGGTCATTCTAATCGGAGCTACTTGGCCGGGAAGAGTTTAATCAGTCAACTTTCTCTAAAGCGAGGTTATTCAGAGAGAAAGCGTTTCGTCTGGTTACCCTGCTCCAAATATTGTCCAGAGCGAGGGTAGATCTGAATCTCTTAGGAGATCAAGGCCTCCGAGGTTTACCAGAGGGATCTAAAAACGGTTCAGATTTTTAGCCCGGATTGCAAAGCAGAGGACGGCTGGAGATCACTGTTTCCCATCTCTCTTCCAGGGGAGGATGAAGACCAGTATGAGCAGTTCATGTTACCCCTCACGGCTGCCTTCGAAACTGTGGCACAGATGTTCAGCACCAACACCTTCAATGAGCAGGAGGCAAAGGTGGGGAAGGGCCGGGGTTCAACTCTCCCTGGGTTAGGTGAAGGCCGCCTGGAACCTTCCTGGCTCTCTTAAGGGTACAGTTCCCCTCTGCCGTTAGGGCTGAAGTCCAAAACGTTTGGGTTGGGGTCTTCCTAAGAACCCACCGGGCAGGAGCGATCCGGATATCTGAAACGGGGGCTCTTCCACCCGGCACAGAAGGCAGTTCAGAAGGCCTCCCTCCAGGATCCCTGAGGAAAATGGGGGGGGGGGGGGGCGTGCTCTGTATTGGAGCGGCCGGCACAATGGGCGGGGGGGGGGGGGGGGGGGGCGATTGGGACACGGAGGACATGAAGCAGTGCCTCTTCCCTCCTCTGACCGGCGTCTTTCCCTCCCTCCAGAGGACGTTGGTTGGCCTGGTGAGGGACCTGCGGGGGATCGCCTTTGCCTTCAACGCCAAGACCAGCTTCATGATGCTCTTCGAGTGGATGTATCCTTGACTCTGGCGCCTGTCCGCCTGCCTGCAGTGGGGACAAGGCTGGCGACTGGATTCTGGAATCTTAACACTGACGGACTCCTACCTGAAATGATCCAGTAGATCGGTTGCCTTTTCTGCAAGTCCTTTATTGGCCAGTTGAGTCTGCGGTGCTCAGCTTTGCAGTAATCTGGCCACCTTGGCTAGTCTGACCTGAAGAATGAATGCCTGAGTTGGTTCTGGGGTCCTTAGCTTCAGCCTTACAGCTACCCAGCCTACATGCCAATCTTGCAGCGGGCGGTTGAGCTCTGGTACCATGACCCAGCCTGCACCACCCCTGTGCTCAAACTGATGGCTGAGCTGGTGCACAACAGGTAAGTGGGCTCCAGTCGGTCCCCTTGGGTACCTTACAGGGACGGCCAGGAGAGGAGAGAAGGTGGTATGAGGAGAAAAGGCTGTATGGGATCTTAGTTGAAAGTGCTGGGATGCATTTCCAGGACCGTCAGACAGTTTCTAAAGAACTGCTAGGATTCTGCCTGGGAGTCTAACCACTTTGGAGCCCATAAACGATAGGAGGGCAGGCAGGAGCCGCCCACGGGGTTGCAAGGCCTGGGCCTCCCTGGCAAGAGACCACACAGGCAGGGGAGGGCAGCCCGAGACATTCCTCTGTTTACGGCATCCCGTCCGTGAGGTGCAAACGGCCACTAAATACTCTGTAAGGCTTTTCAAAAGAAGGCTAAACACCCACAGGGGGCAGCTTTATGCCTGGAGGTTACCCACCAGGTGTGCTTGTGGAGGGGAGCCCAGGGTGGGGCTGCCCCGCCAGGTGGGGCGTCCCAGCCAAGGCGCAACTCTCCCTTGCTTTCAGGTCCCAGAGGCTGCAGTTCGACGTCTCCTCCCCAAACGGCATCCTGCTCTTCCGGGAGACCAGTAAAATGATCACTACCTACGGTGGGTCTCTTGCCCTTGGCAGCTCTTGGGCTGGGTCAGGTGGGCAGGAAGCTTCGCCTGGGCCCTCTGCCTGGCCCTCCTGCTGCCATGGCTCTGAATGGGCCGGAGGGGGCAGCCCAGGAGAAGGATGCAGCCTTGACTCGGCCCACTGCCAGGAGTTCGATCCTGACAGGCTCCAGGCTGACTCGGCCTCCCATCCTTCTGAGGTCGGTCAAATGAGGACCCAGCTTGTTGCGGGCAACAGGCTCCCATTGGTGAACCACTTAGTTGCAAAGTCTAAGCGCTGTTGCTGTTTGTCCCTGTGCCAAGCGGGGGGGGGGGGGGGGGGGCTCTGCCAAATGCAGAGCCTCTTCTCTGGTTCCAGCCACTGCAGACCGGCTCCTGGCTTTTCCACTTCCACTTTTCCGGGAGCCACACAAGGAAACTGCCCTTTGAGGAGGGAGTGCTGTTGAGATGCCTGCGCTTTGCTTTCCTGCAGGAAACCGTATCCTGACTTTGGGGGAGGTTCCAAAAGACCAGGTCTATGCCTTGAAGCTCAAGGGGGTTTCCATCTGCTTCTCCATGCTGAAAGCCGCCCTGAGTGGCAGCTACGTCAACTTTGGTGTCTTCCGCCTCTATGGGGACGATGCCCTGGACAACGCCTTGCAGACTTTCATCAAGCTCCTGCTCTCCATCCCACACAGCGACCTGCTGGTAAGGGTGCCCAGCGGCTCCTGTGCCCCCCTGAACCCTCTTCCACTCTTGGCGTTTCTGGGGTTGCCCAAGGGACACTCGCAGCTCTGTGTGTGTGTGTGTGTGTGTGTGTGTTGGAATCCAAACTTATAATTTGGCCTCGCTCGTAATGTAATGACAGCTGGGTTACACATCGATCGGTGCCTATTCTGGCAGGAGGTTGCTTCTCGTGAGGGTTGCTGCTGGCCTGGCTGAGGGACCAGGGCCCGATTCCACCCCCTTCGCCGTTTGCCCTGGGGAGGGGGGGGGCCTTGGGGTACAAGATGAAAGGCAAAACGGAGGGTTGCTTTCTCACACACACCCCTTCTTGCGAAATGTGGCGGTGCAGGAAAGAGCCGTGGTGGCACAGGGGTTAGGAGGCCGTACTACAGGCTACCTCTGCTGACTGCTGTTTGGCAGTTCAAGTCTCACCAGGCTCAAGGTTGTGACTCAGCCTTCCATCCTTCCGAGGTCGCCAAAACGAGGACCCAGATTGACCCGGCCTGAGTGACTGAGCGCAGGAACTCATGGTCCAGGAAAGGGCACAACACAAAATTGCACAAAGGCTCTCCTAGCCACAACTGCGAATAGGTCTCCTAGCTATTGTCAAAACCTTTGATAATGAGATTGAAATAATTCTGCGTAAAACAGTCACGTGACACAAAGCCACAGAAATATATATATATAAAATAGCACTGGATGGTCAGGTGAGGGCATGGCACAATAACTACTACCTCTCTGGCCTAGGATTCATCTAAAGAATGGTTACTCCATCTACCCATAATTTGCCAATAAATCGGAAGCTGTACCTTCAGTGGTCATACAAATAAAAAGTTTTGAAAATCACGGCTTCTGAAACTGAGGTTGCATTTTGGGGGGTGGGGGTGGGGGGGAATATGTCCGAAGGTTCCCCAAACCTAAGTAGTCACATATTCTGGGCCCACAAAACTCCTCTGAAAGCTTTCCTGATTCCTTTCTTTAATTTATCTTTTTTCAGGATTATCCTAAGCTCAGCCAGTCCTACTATTCGTTACTGGAAGTTCTTACTCAAGATCACATGAATTTTATAGCTAGCCTGGAGCCCCATGTAATCATGTATATTCTGTCTTCCATTTCAGAAGGTCTCACAGCGCTAGGTGAGTGCAATAGTCTTTATTGGGAAGTTTTAGGGCTGCGAAAGTCTTTCAACGTGGTTTTGTTGTTCTCCAGCAGCATCAAAGGAATGAGACGCCAACTAGCTGCCTTAGATACAACACCCAGTAGTAGAACATCTAAATGTTCCCTTAACTGCCTCATAGTTCCTGGTTTGGTGTCTTCGTTTTGTCATTAAGGATTGGCCTTTGGGAAGGACGACCATTTCCTTAATCTCTCAGGGGCAAAGTGGGTGACAGAGCAACACCAAGTGATCGGATCTTCCTTCCCTCCATTGGCTTTCTCAGGAAGAGCCGGCAGCCTCAACGGCTGACCATCAGGAGGGGGGGGTTCACGCCAATCATTTGGTTGGGTTTTCGGCCGGTAGACAGAGTCACCCCTGGTTCTGCATGATTCGATCCTAGAAGGGTTTTAATGACAATTCCACAGCCCCTGAGGCTCTTTGACGGCTGGGTGGCTCTCAAGGAATCAGATGTCTTGGCAGAATGATCTATACTTGCTATGAAACTTAAGGCAAAGCTTTACTTTGCCTCAAGACAAGTAATGCTTTGCCTTGGGTGACGGACAAGGCATTCCACCTATTGCAGGACCCGAAGGGTTTAAGAAATCCTGCCAAGCGAATAGGAGTCCACGATGGGCACAGCTGGCTTGCTTGGCCTGAGGCTGCTGCTCCCCGAGGCTTTTTGGCCAAGGAGACCATCCAGCTAATGGAATAGGGATGTTTGACCCGACGTAACTCCGGCCTCCTTTCTCTTTGTCCCTTCTCTTTCCCTGGCAGATACCATGGTTTGCACTGGGTGCTGCTCCTGCTTAGACCACATTGTCACTTACCTCTTCAAGCAGCTGTCCCGCAGTACCAAAAAGAGGTCTGCCCCATTGACCCAGGAAAGCGACCGGTTCCTCCACATCATGCAGCAGCACCCCGAGATGATTCAACAGGTCAGGACAAGGAGGGCGGGAGGAAGGGGGTATTTCTGGGGCCAGAGCCCTTTAGTTGAGTAATGTAGGTGAGCCTAAAACGCTTGCCTGGAATATTTACACACAAAGAGTCACAGGAAGCGGTTCTTCCGTCCCCAGGAAACGACTGCAGCACTTTTCATCTCCTCACTTTCAATATTTGAAGTGACTCTTCTGCAGAAAATGCTTAGCTGTCTTTGGCTCCTCCTGGCCCCGAGGCCAACCATTTGCCAGGATCGTCTGTCAGTAACTGCTTACAAGCCCACGTCCCTGGTCCCAATGAAGGTGCCCAGCAATCAGGGTCTCGTTGCAGGTGGAGCCCCCCCCTCGTGGCCAGGAAGGTCCCTTCCCCCCCGGTG